TAATTTGGGATAACGTATTTAGTATAATACAAAAACAGAAACAAATCCTACAAGAAATGACTTCAACTAATACAACACTTAAATCTGGGAAGAAGATTACTCCAGCATTAACAACTGCGGTGGCATCGCCCTCAATGATGGCACAAAAGACAATTGAGGAAACACTATCTGGAGATAAACAACCCTCTATCATGAATGCCAATATTCAGTTGACTCTTCTTACCTTACAAGAATCTATGTTGAAGCTTCAAGAAATAATGACGAAAAACCATACTGAGACAAGAGCTGATACAAATGAATTAAAAGGAGAGATGGGGAATTTAAAGGTAGAAATGAAATTTCAAAGTTAGATCAAAAAATTGGAACAATACAGCAAGCACTAGAGAGAAATGAATTAACAATAAAGGAAATTGAGAAAAGGACGGAACAAACTGAGAAGAAGCTGGAAATGGTTGGTGAACAACTAAGAAACGTGAGCAAAGAAATGGATGATTCCCTGGTCTATTTGAAAATGGACAAGGCCACAGCATATTTGAGATTTCAGAATATAGTGGAATTGAAGAGGATTTGGAACAAGTGATAGCAGGAATATTAGCAGAATTGTTGGAAAAAGATAAGGATGATATTCTGAAAGAGTTGGACGAAGTGTATAGAGTGAGTACAAACAATGCAAGACGTCATAAATACCCAAAAGAGGTTCACGTAAGATTTGCCTAAAGAAAGGTCAGGGATGTTATATACAAAATATCTAGAGAAGAAACAATTACATATAAAGGAAAAGAAGTCTTGGTGCTCAAACAAATCCCAAGAAGAGTGAGAGAGCAAAGGCGAGACTATAACTTTTTGGCGAACCAATTAAATCAAAAAGGCATTGTATTTTGATGGCTAATCCCAGAAGGGCTGTTAATCTCATGGGAAGAAAGGAAAATTAGAGTAGACTCCGTGGACAAAGCTCAAGAATTCTATGAACAATTGTTAGGTCTGGAAGAATTGAGTAGTAAAGATGAACTAGATTCAAATTCGCAAGATGACCAGGATTACCAAAAGAATAGAGATAGGAATCCCAGGAATTCAAAAAATATACAACAACAACAAGAGAGAGAAGAACCGAGGACACGTTATCGGCTACAAAAACAGACAGGAGTAACTACAAGACAAAGAGCAAGAATCAATTAGATAATGGATGAGAAAAGGAAAATATTATCAATTAATATAAGTGACCTGAATTCTAGGATAAAAAGGAAAAGAATATTAACTAAACTAATTAAACAAAATGCAGATATAATATGTTTACAAGAAACCCACATAAGGAAGGTAGGTGAAAAATATTTAGAATGCCCCAAGTTAGGAAATCTGTATACGTCACCAGCAGACCTCGGGAAAAAGAAAGGGATAGCAGTATATGTGAAAGGATATGGAAACAGAGTTAATTTGGACAGATCCCAACGGAAGAATTCTGGTGTTACAAATTTGGATTAAGTCAACCCCAATCCTATTAGTAGTAATTTATGCACCTAACGATAATCAAAAAGAATTTTTTAAACAATTACATGAAAAAATAGTGGGATTAGAAAAAAGGAATATTTGTATCTTGGGGGACTTCATTGCCATTGTGGACCATCAGAAAGATCATAATAGGGGGGGGGGGGGAAGAGAGAATTACCGAAAACGTGAGGAAATGGTGACTGAATTAAATTTGATAGATATGTGGAAAAAATTAAACCTGGAGAAAAAGCAATGTACATTTTATTCTAACCACACCAATCATGGACACGAATTGATATGGTGTGGATGAATGGTGAGTTAGCAAATGAGTTAAAAGAGATTGAAATTTTACCTAATGAATGGGCAGATCATAATCCGATTCAGATAGTGTGGAAAGGTAGGAAAAAGCCAAGGAAAAGGTGGATGCTAAATACACAGCTAATTAAAGAGAAAGAGTTTATGAATAGACTTAAGGAGGAATTAGACTACTTTTTAAAAGAAAAAATAATGAGGCAACTACGAAGCAGAATATTTGGGATACAATGAAGGCAGTAATAAGGGGCACAACGATATCATATACTGCCAGGAGAAATAAAAATGTGCCCAACAAAATAAACTAAAACAAAGAATTAAAGAATTAGAAATGCAGTTACAAAATACTCCAAAGGATTCTAGATTGCAAAATCAGATGATAATAACTAAACACAAACTAAATCTAATTGAACAGGAAGGAATGGTCACAAAGTTGAATATAGCTAGACAGATATTCTTTGAACAGGCTAATAAATCAGGAAGATGGTTGTCCTATAAACTCAAACAAGAAAAACAGAAAAGATTAATTTACCAATTAATAGATGAAAATGGGGATGCCCAACAGGGAATAGAACAGAAAAAAGAAATTGCATGTAAATACTTTGAAGACCTTTATAAAAAGGAGGAGGTAAACGAGGATATGATAAATTATTTGGGTGTAACAAAAGATAAATTGGGGATGAGATGAAAGAAATGCTAATTTAGAGATATTACGTGGTCTGAACTGAAAATAGCAATAGAAAATCAAAAGAATAACAAAACTCCAGGACTTGATGGGATTCCAGGGGAATTATACAAGGTAATAGGAGAACAAATAGGACCCCTCATGGTGGAAGTATATAATGAGGTTTTACTTGCAGCTAAAAGGCCGGATTCATAGAAGGAGACATTAATTTTGTTGATTCTGAAAGAAGACTCAGATCCACGACTCATACAAAATTATAGACCAATTTCTCTGTTAAATACTGATTACAAAATATTTATTTAAATTATAGCAAATAGATTAAAAAAAATCCTGAACGAATATATACATAAAGATCAAAACGGATTTCTTCCCAATAGACAAATTAGGAATAATTTAAGAATAGTGTTAAATATTTTGGAATACTATGAAGCCCATCCGGAAAAACAAATAGCCCTTGTATTCTTGGATGCACAGAAGGCCTTTGACAACTTAAATTGGCAATTTCTAATTCAACAAATCTACAATATGAATTTAGGCACTAAATTTGAAAACATCGTGACTACAATTTATGCCTCACAAAAGGCGAATATTATAATGGAGAGTATACGCGCTCAATAAAAATAGAGAAAGGGGTTAGGCAGGGATGTCCATTATCTCCCCTGCTCTTCATATTATCTTTGGAAACACTGCTCACATGAATTAGAACCCAGGAATAAAGGGCTTAAAAATAAAGAAGAATATAAACTGCAGTCATTTGCGGATGACATGGTCTTTTTCATAGAGGACCAAATTGAAACAGGTCAAGAACTGTTGAAAGAGCTAGATCAATTTGGGAAAGTTGCAGGACTTAAAATTAATGGGAAAAATGAAATTAATAACTAAAAACCTAACAAAAAAACAAATTAGAATTGGAAAAGGCAATGGGACTACAAGTGGTTAAAAAAATTAAATACCTAGGAATTTGGCTGACGGCTCAGTGTAAAACTTTAATGGAAAATAATTATAGCAAATTACTACAACAGGTTAAAAAAGACTTATGGGTTAAACAGGGAGGAGTGCTACCATTAAAATGACCATTCTCCCTAAATTTATTTCTTTGTTCCAGACAATACCAATAAAAATACATAAAAACTACTTTACGGAACTTAATAGTATAATCGCAAAATTCATTTGGCAAGGGAAAAAATTGAGGATAAATTTAAAAGCAATGCAAGACATGAAGAGCAGGGGGGTATGGCACTCCCAAATTGGGAATTATATAATACAGACATGATATTCTTCCGATTAAAATTGGAATTCCGATTTTTTTGGGAATCGCCCCCCCCTTCTCCCCCCTTCTTCTCCTTCCCCTCCCCTCGGAGGCCCCGAGTCAGGAGTTGCTACCGCTGGCTCGGCTCTGTGTGGCTCCAGTCCCGCGTTGCCTCAGGAAGGGAAAGGCAAAAGGGAAGAGCCGCGGCGGCGCTTTGCAACGGCAGCAGCGGCTCCTGGTTTTGCCTTTCCCTTCCCGAGGCAACGCGGGACTGGAGCTGCGCGGAGCCGCGCCAGCGGTAGCAACTCCTGACAGCCCCAGCCGGATACCTGAGCGGAGCCCGGGCGGGCGGGCAGTGCGAGCGGAGCCCGGGCGGGCGGTGCGAGCGGAGGCCGCTGAGCGGCAGGAAAAGGGAGCTGGGCAGCGATTTCTTGGCGCGCGGTGGGGGGGTCTCTTTTGGCCGGCCCCGATTTTTTTTTCAGAGGGGAATATCATGCCTGATAATAGTGCAGCCTCTTTACTATGGCTGAAAGAGTGGGTAAATTTGTCGAATAAAATAATATTATTCCTAGAAGGCCATCATTTACAGAGGGGGTGGCATGCATTCTTATGGGACATGGGAAAAACCAAACAGAATTACTTCCACAGACATATAATTAGAGACTCTTTATTGGCTAATTGGAATAAAATAAAGAAAAAACATCTAAAAATCCCAATTTGGATCTCAACGATGGAGGCGATGATACATCCAAATAATTTGGATCTCAACAAGATGATAAAATACAAAGACCTTCTGGATGCACAAGGAGCTTTAAAATCATGGCAAGATCTCTAAGAACAAGGGCTATGAGTAGACTGGTGGGTTTACTTGCAAATTCAAAATAGATACAGACAGGATAAAAGAAGTTTTGGAATTTACAGTAAGTTACAGCAATTAGATAAAATTAGGTCCAGATTAAAAAAATGTAACCAAATATTATAACTATTTATTAGAGGTAGAATTAGAGGAGGAAGTAGTCAAAGGCAATATGATAGCTTGGAATAGAAATATTGGACGTAGCATTACATTATTAGAATGGGAAAGGTTCTGGATCAGGAATAATAAAATCACAAAATCAGCAGCATATAAAGAAAATGCCTATAAAATGTTTTATAGATGGCATCTTTCCCCTTCGAGAATAGCGAAGATGTCTCCTAACATGAATCCGAATTGCTGGAAATGTAAAAAGAAACACGGAACATTCTTTCACATGTGGTGGTCCTGCACCTAAGCCCAAAGATTTTGGCGCAGAATAAAAAAAATGGTTGGAGGAAATAACGGCAGAGCAAATTGAATTAAAACCAGAATTCTTCCTATTAGGGATATTTGATAAACAACTCCCTAAAAAGCTAAATATATAATATTGCACATACTTACTGCAGCTAGACTAGCCTTTGCACAGTGTTGGAAACAAGCTGATATTCCAACAGAGGAAATGATTATTCAGAAAATAGCAACCTGTGCAGAGATGGATAAATTGACCTTAGCACTTAAGGATAAAGAATCATCAGAATATTACAAAAGCTGGGAATGTTGGTATGACTGGATAGAACAAAGATAGGAAATATATTAGTAAATAATGTTAACTGTAAAGGAGGTAGTAATTACATACTCGCATTAAGATTTACTTGTAAATATGACACCAATAATGATAACAAATAAGGAACCACAAACTGCTGATAATGGAATTGCTTGCTTTTATTTGTTTATTTTTTGTGGGTTTTTTTCTTTTCATTTTTTTCCTATGTTGTGTATGTGTTTGTTCGTTATTTTAGTTGTATATTCAATAAAGTTTGCTTTTTTTAAAAAAAAAAATTTTGGGGTGACAATTGCCTGCCTGTGCTCTTTTTTTTTCTTTTCTTTTTTTCTTTTCTCTTTTTTCTCTTTCTCTCTTTACAGATAAATACTACAAGATGAGCAGAAAGACAACAGCCCTAGCTTCCTCAATACCAATAGCCTCTTCACCATCTGGAGGACAACGGACAATATAGACAATTTTACAACAGGAAAAAGAGAAGGAAGTGACATTACAGATGATTATGCAAGGAATTCAGAAGATTGAAAAGAGAATGGAGAATATTGAGCAAAGAACTGAAAAGATAGATGAGAAAGTAGAAAATATTCAACAGATGATGATGAAATATGAAGACAGATTCAAAAAAATTGAAGAAGATACACAAAGGGACAAGAAAATTGGAAATATTAATACTTTATTGAGCGATGTCGAAAAGGGCAGGTGTGAACTATTAGAATGGGAAATTGATAGATCAGAATTCTACCTAAGATTTCAAAATGTAGAAGAAGGAAAAGGTGAAAATCTTGCTGAAATAATGACAGAAATACTGGCAGAAGTGTTAGAGATAACCAAAGAGAAGATGATGGATGGGATGGATGGAGTGTTTCGTATCTATATAAGATATGCAATGAGAAACAGACTACCAAGAGAAGTCCACATCAGATTTACTAAGATTATTAAGACACAGATGCTGCAGGTGACGAGAGAAAACATTAAAGTATAAAGACAAAGAAATTGCGGTACTGAAACATTTACCAAGAAGAGTAAGAGAGATATGAGAAGAGAATATTTATTCTTGATTAAAGAGTTACTTAAAAGAGGAGTAAACTACAGATGGTTGATGCCAGAAGGCCTCTTGTTCACTTGGCAAGAACAAGGACACAGAATTTGACACAGTTGAAAAAGCTGAGCTATTCTACTTAGAATACTTGAGAGGAAAGGAGGAAGAAGCAAGAGTCATTAATTGAATTCCAAGAGGAGTGTATAGCAATAATTGAAAAAGAAAAAGAAGAAGGTGCAGTAGGTGGTGTACCCAGAGTGCAATGAGAATTAAGACCTACTAGAGCAATAAAACCTCCTCACAAAGCTTAACTTGGATGAAAGAAAATTGATTACGATTAACATAAATGGACTTAACTCGGCTACTAAAAGAAGGAAAGTATTTCACAAATTAGAGAAATTAAAATTTGATATAATTTGCCTACAAGAAGTACATATCAAAAAACAACGTAAATATATATTGAAACAAAAAAAAAATTAGGAAAATTATTTACGTCACTGGCACAATCTAAAAAAATGGGTGTAGTATTATATATTAAAGACACAATTTTAATTGCAATTTATGCTCCAATGATAACCAAGAAGAGTTCTACAGGAAATTACATATGAAAATAATTGAATTAGACTATGTTAATATTTGTATGATGGGAGATCTTAATGGAATAATTAATGATCGGTTGGACTATAAAACACAGAAATCAACAAAGAAAGCTAGAAAGATACTACCAAAATCTTTCTTTCGAATAACAGAAGAATTTAACTTAGAATATGCATGGAGAAAGAGAAATGTGGAAAGCAAGCAATACACTTTTTACTCAAACAGGCATGCATCATGGTCTAGAATAGACATGATATGGATGTCAGCAGAATTACTGACCAACATATTAGGGATTGAAATAGAAACAAGCACCTGGACAGACCATAATCCAGTCATAGTTATTTGGAAAGGATATAAGAGGAGATCTAGATGGACTTTAAATAATACTATAGTAAAAGAAAATGACTTTAAACAGAAAATAACTCGTTTTCTTTTTTAAAGAAAATAGAAAAGAGGACACATCTTTACAGAACCTCTGGGACACAATGGAGGCCTACACAAGAGGCTTGATAATAGACTATACAAGGAAAAGAAATATAAAACAGAAAGACTTTCAAAACATTGGAGGATGATTATAAAAGATTGGAAAAAGATTTACAGAAGTCCCCGCAAAAAACAACAACATTAAAAATAAAATGGATATAATTAAACATAAAATGGGACTAATGGAAAAAGAGGAACTAGCACATAAAAATCAAAAATGCCAAACAGAATTACTTTGAAGATGCAAATAAACCAGGCAGATGGCTAGCCTATAAACTGAGAAAGGAAACAGAATCAAGAAGGATTAGTCAATAAATGAAGAAGGACATGTTTGCTATGGAAACGAGGAGAAGAAAAAAAATTATACAAAATTACTATGGAAAATTGTATTTTCAAGAGAATATTCAAGAAAAAGTTAAGCAATATTTACAGAAAGCGAATTTACCTCAGATACCTAAAGACATTGAAACAATGTTAGAAGGGAACATAACGATGATGGAATTAAAGAAGCCCTAAAAAACCAGAATGTTGGAAAAGCACCAGGTCCAGATGGCTTGCCAGCGGAATTTTACAAAACTTTTCAGGAAATATTGAATCTTCACTTGTTAGAAGTTATGAATCAAGTTATGCTAAAGAAAAGAATACCCAAAACATGGTCAGAAGCATATATTACACTTAAACCGAAGGAGGATACAGACCTGCAGCAAGTTAAAAATTATAGACCTGTATCCCTATTAAATTCAGACTATAAAATTTTTGCTTCAATCCTGTCAGAAAGACTGAAAAGATACTAAAATAATTTTATCCATAATGACCAAAATGGATTCCTGCCAAAGAGACAAATCAGAGACAATGTGAGAATTATTCTGGACACTCTAGAATATTATGAGGCGCATCCTGAAAAGCAAATGGCCTTGATGTTTCTAGATGCACAAAAAGCCTTTGACAATGTGAGTTGGCAATTCATTTTACTTCAGTTGACACAAATGGGCTTTGGTAAAAAAATTATTCAAGCCATTGAAACGATATATCATGCACAAACTGCAAAAGTTATGGTAAATTGAGAATTAACAGAATCTATAGATATAAGAAAAGGGACAAGACAAGGTTGTCCATTGTCGCCTCTGCTGTTTGTGTTAACATTGGAAGTGTTGAATAGAAATATTAGAGAAGATAAAGAAATAAAAGGAATGAAAATCAAAAAGGAAGAGTATAAATTGCAAGCTTTTGCAGATGACCTGGTATTCATACTAGAAGATCCATTGGAAACAGCACCTAAATTCATAGAAAAAATAGAAGAATATGGAAAAGTAGCAGATTTGAAAATAAATAAAGATAAAACAAAGATATTAACAAAGAATATGTTAGCAAGACGAAAGAAAGAGTTGGAAGAAGTTTTAGAAATACAGGTCACAAACAAGGTTAAGTATTTAGGGATATACATCACCAATATGTAGCACACTGAAGGAGGATAACTATTTTAAACTCAAACAGCAGATTGCGACAGATTTGATAAAATGGGAAAAATTACAACTATCATTGATTGGGAGAATATCTACAATTAAGATAAATGCATTGCCTAGAATTTTATATCTATTCCAGACAATTCCAATCCGACCAGGGAAAAAGTTTTTTGAAGACTTAAATAGAATTGTGCTGAAATACACTGCTCAAAAAAATAAAGGGAACACAAAAATAAGACATCCTAAATCTGAATGAATGAAATGTTATTAAATACTTTGTTCGTTACATAGTTGAATGTGCTGACAACAAAATCACACAAAAATTATCAATGGAAATCAAATTTAGCAACTCATGGCGGTCTGGATTTGGAGTTACACTCAAAATTAAAGTGGAAACAAACACTACAGGCTGATCCAACTTTGATGTAAACAAGTCAAAACAAGTCAAAATGAGGCTCAGTAGTGTGTGTGGCCTCCACATGCCTGTATGACCTCCCTACAATGCCAAGACATGTTCCTGATGAGGTGGCAGATGGTCTCCTGAGGGATCTCCTCCCACACCTGGACTAAAGCATCCCCCAACTCCTGGACAGTCTGTGGTACAACATGGCATTCGTGGATGGAGCAAGACATGATGTCCCAGATGTGCTCAATTGGATTCAGGTCTAGGGAACGGGCAGGCCAGTCCATAGCATCAGTGCCTTCGTCTTGCAGGAACTGCTGACACACTCCAGCCACATGAGGTCTAGCATTGTCGTGCATTAGGACCCCAGGGCTAACCGCACCAGCATATGGTCTCACAAGGGATCTGAGGATCTCATCTCGGTACCTAATGGCAGTCAAGCTATCTCTGGCGAGCACATGGAGGGCTGTGCGGCCCTCTAAAGAATGCCACCCCACACCATTACTGACCCACTGCCAAACCAGTCATGCTGGAGGATGTTGCAGGCAGCAGAACGTTCTCCACGGCGTCTCCAGACCCTGTCACATGTGCTCAGTGTGAAGCTGCTTTTATCTGTGAAGAGCACAGGGCACCAGTGGCAAATGTGCCAATCTTAGTGTTCTCTGGCAAATGCCAAACGTCCTGCACGGTGTTGGGCTGTAAGCACAACCCCCACCTGTGGACATTGGGCCCTCATACCACCCTCATGGAGTCTGTTTCTGACTGTTTGAGCAGCCACATGCACATTTGTGGCCCGCTGGAGATCATTTTGCAGGGCTCTGGCAGTGCTCCTCTTATCCCTCCTTGCACAAAGGTGGAGGTAGCGGTCCTGATGCTGGGTTGTTGCCCTCCTACAGCCTCCTCCATGTCTCCTGATGTACTGGCCTGTCTCCTGGTAGCACCTCCATGCTCTGGATACTACGCTGACAGACACAGCAAACCTTCTTGCCACAGCTCACATGGATGTGCCATCCTGGATGAGCTGCACTACCTGAGCCACTTGTGTGGGTTGTAAATTCCGTCTCATGCTACTACTAGGGTGAAAGCACCGCCAGCATTCAAAAGTGACCAAACCATCAGCCAGAAAGCATAGGATCTGAGAAGTGCTCTGTGGTCACCACCTGCAGAACCACTTTATTGGGGATGTCTTGCTACCTGCCTATGCTTCCCACCTGTTGTCTATTCCATTTGCACAACAGCATGTGAAATTGATTGTCAATCAGTGTTGCTACCTAAGTGGACAGTTTGATTTCACAGAAGTGTGATTGACTTGGAGTTACATTGTGTTGTTTAAGTGTTCCCTTTATTTTTTTGAGCAGTGTATATATTTGGCAGGGTAAAAAAGCAAGAATAAAACTAAAACTGTTACAAGGCGCAAGAATAAGAGGAGGGTTTGCCTTGCCCAATTGGGAGTTATATTACCAGACGACAAGCTTGATGTGGGTAAAGGAATGGATAACATTAAGGAACAGTAGACGATTGACTTAGAAGGGCATGACTTACTGTTGGGATGGCATGCTTTCCTCTGGTACAAGGGAACTAAAACACGGGTATTTTAGAAGACGTTACATTCAAGAGGCACTGTTTGAATTGGGAGAAGATAAAAGATAATACTACTTAAAACTTCCATTATGGATATTTACCATTGAGGCTTTTTTTTATCCAATAATATATAAAAAGGAACAAACAGATATGGTGAGATATTGAATGAAAAGGGTGAACTTAAATCTATGCAAGCATTGGAAGAACAAGGTGTAAAAATGAATTGGATTTCATATTTGCAAATACAATCTAAATTTGATAAATATTTTGAAACAGAAGGTATTTATGATAAGATGACTGACTTAGACAAAATTTTGATGGGTACTGATGAAAAGGTAATTAAAAAGCTTTATGGACATTTATTAGAATTTAAATTGGAGGAGGAACAAGTTAAAGAAACGATGATTGCTTGGAAAATTTTTGGATATGTGATTGATTTAGAAAAATGGCAAAAATTGTGGTCTCAAAATTATAAAATGACAATGTCAACTGCATATAAAGAAAATTTATATGAGATGTTTTACAGGTGGCATCTATCCCTGACGAGACTTGCAAGAATGTTTAAGAATAAATCGGATAAATGTTGGAAAAGTCATCAGATACCTAGTTCATATTACCGTATGTGGTAGACATGCTCGGACACAAAAAATATTGGACTAAAATCCACACATGGTTGGAAAAAATGATAAAACAACATATAGACTTTAAACCAGAGATCTTTTTATTGGGAATTATACCGGAAATATACAACAAAGAGCTGAAATATTTGATTGTAAATGTTTTAACAGCGGCTAGAATTGTATTTGCTTAAGAATTGGAAAAATGATAAAATACCTATGCAGGAGGAAGTTATTAAGAAAATTATGGACTGTGCTGAAATGAGTAAATTGACATTTGAAATTAGAGAACAAGAAGATAAACTATTTTATATGATATGGGATTTGTTTTATCAATGGTTGGACAAAAAGATGTAATGCAACAGAATAGATAATCTTGTTATAGAAGTTTAATAGATTGATATAAAATATAATGTAGACATATGTAACCATTGGATGAAAGTACAATATAAATTTTAAAATAAAATTTGGGATATCTTGTATAAAATGATGGAATAAATAGTTTAGTCATGGATGATTAATACCTGATAAATATATAAGCATATGTTTGACGTGAAATTTATATAAACTGTGAGTAACGACTATGAAAGGATAGCACAAAAGATTCGCAACCAACTGACACACTGTATGTACATAAAATGGAAGATGGTTTTATGTTTTTATGTATTGTTTGTATATGTTTGTCTTAAAAAATTAAAAAAAACTTTTTTTAAAAAAAATAATAGTTTGCTATTTCCATTTCAGATTGTAAATGGTGAAAAGAAAAACAGTCAGCTTTAATATTTTGTTTTCCAATCACCTTTTGTAGAAATTAATTATTTGGCTTATTTTAATGCTTTAAACTCCAGAGAGCACCATTGTTAAAATTGTTTATTAAGAATTTAGACTCGGGTATAACAATATATTACTGCTCGAAGGTGATACAGTTGTAACTCAGTGATTACAGTTAAAATGAATTTCTTAATAATATTTAGCGTCTTCATATATGAAAAATTATGCTTGGGAAATAACTTATTTATTTGCTTTAATATTCAGAAATTAAAGGAAAAACTGGAGAAGATAGGAAAAGAATATTTTTTTTCGCTTAGGCAGTAAATGCTTTTCTGTTGGTTTCATTAAAGCCAAGAAGGAAGAGAAGAAAAGGCGCAAATCATCGTCTTCATCTAGTGATTCAGAAAGTTCAAGTGATTCAAAAACGTCTTCTGATTCGTCCACTGAATCTGACAGTGCTGCTGAAGAAAAAACAAAGAAAAAGAAAAAGAAACACAAAAAAAACTCTAAGAAACATAAGAAAGAAAAGAAAAAGAGGAAAAAAAGCAAAAAGAGGTACATACAGGAAGGTTTCTATGAAAGCATTAAAACATTTTTCTTCCTACACTATTATTGCAACAAATGTAACAGAATAATTTGAAGGAATTAAAGATACCTTTTTCATTGTCAATTTCAGTTAGTTTGTTTCTGAAATAAATCTCTTTATATGTTTTTTTTTAAACAGATTGCTTATGTATCTAAAGTCATAATGATTTTAAATACATTTTAGGATGAAATCTGAGATACTTGGAGAACAATGCTTCTGTTGCTAGGAAGTCAACCGAGTGGTTTTATAAGACAGCAAGTCCCCAACATAAGAACAAATTCCCATCCTAAATTACCTTTAAGTCCATTTGTATGTAAACTGGAACAAGCTCTTTAGTCACATGTTTTGTCTTACTGTGTAATAAAGAGAAAAACGGAAGCCAAGTGCAATTAAAAATGGCAAATGCCATTCTTATACAAGCTGAGGAACTATTGAATCCATGCAATGTTTTTAGGAACTGCTGAAAACAGTCCTTGACTTATAACACTTCGTTTATTGACATTCCAGGTTACAACTGCACTGAAAAAAGTGATATAAATCATTTTTCAGTTACGACCTTTCCAGCACCCCTATGATCATATGATCAAAATTCAGATGCTTGGCAACTGGTTCATATTTATGACTGTTGCTATGTTCCAAGGTCATGTAATTTGAGATCTTCTGACAAGCCAAGTTAAGGTTGTAAATGTGGCAAACTTCACTTAACAAGTGTCTTACTTAACAACAGAAATGTTGGGCTCAATTGTGGTTGTAAGCCAAGGACTACCTGTATATTAAAAATCCATGCATTACTTTGTGATGCTTATGTAGGCATTGCGCTGTTTCAGCGCTGCTTCAGTTCATGAGGGTAAAGTAATGTCTACCATTTGAGTTGGATCTTGTTGCCAGTCAAATAGTCAGAAAAACTGGAGTGCGACATGACTCAAAATGACAGACAACATTCTTGAGCTGTGCAGTGTTTTCAGAAACCAGTGAAAACAGGCTGTGCAATATATTAAAAACAAATGCTCATGGAGATATTGCAAGGCTTCAGCTGTTTTTCAGTTAGCAGGGAGAAGTGCCACCTGCCATTTTAAGTTGGATCTCATTGCTGGTTGGCTGTCTGCCATTTTGAGTACTGCAAATAGCTTGTTTGTAACTTTGTTGTTTGTAAGCTGGGGGGTCGCAGTCTGGCGACTTTCTGTAGTGTGGATCCATTTCCATTTAAGCAGCTCAGAAACTATCCCTAGGCATGATTAAATCTGTTGATTTATATTTGTTCAGTAATTTACAATAGGAGTATTTTTAAAAATTGCTATGTTAATAAAAAGACCAAAAAAGCATGTCCCCATATTCAACCTGTCATTAGAACCAGCAAGGCATAAGAAGAACCAGCACAATTCAAATTACAATATTAAAGATTTTGCCACTTTCCAACAGAAATTTCTAAAATATAGTAAATTTGAAATATGTTTGGCACCTGAAAACTTAACACATTATTCTAAAAGTACAGATAAAAATATTCTTTTGTTTTATAAATTTAAGTTCAGCTAGTGAAACTGAAACAGAAAACCCTGAATTGCAACAACCACTTTCTACAGTCCGTCCAGAAGAAATTCCTCCTGTTCCAGAAAACAGATTTTTGATGAGGAAAAGTCCTCCCAAAGTAGATGAAAAAGAAAAAGAAACAAAGAACAGAGAAAGGGAAAGGTAAGACTTTTAAAAATTATTTATCAACACAATAGTATGATGTTAAAATACTAGGATCTACAGGTGAAACTTGAAAAATTAGAATATTCTGCAAAAGTTCATTTATTTCAGTAATGCAACTTAAAAGGTGAACCTAATATACGGGATAGACTCATTACATGCAAAGCAAGATAGTTCAAGCCGTGATTTATCATAATTGAGATGATTATGGCTTACAGCTCATGAAAATCCCAAATCCACAATCTCAGAAAATTAGAATATTGTGAACAGGTTCAATATTCTAGGCTCAAAGTGTCCCACTCTAATTAGCTAGTTAAGCCATAACACCTGCAAAGGGTTCCTGAGCCTTTAAATGGTCTCTCAGTCTGGTTCAGTAGGAAGCACAATCATGGGAAAGACTGCTGACCTGACAGTTGTGCACAAAACCATCATTGACATCCTCCAGAAGGAGGGAAAGCCTCAAAAGGTTATTGCAAAAGAAGTTGGATGTTCCCAAAGTGCTGTATCAAAGCACATTAATAGAAAGTTATGTGGAAGGGAAAAGTGGAAGAAAAAGGTGCACAAGCAGCAGGGATGACCACAGCCTGGAGAGGATTGTCAGGAAAAGGCCATTCAAAAGTGTTGGAGACTTTCACAAGGAGTGGACTGAGGCTGGAGTCAGTGCATCAAGAGCCACCGCACACAGACGGATCCTGGACATGGGCTTCAAATGTTGTATTCCTCTTGTCAAGCCACTCCTGAACAACAAACAATGTCAGAAGCGTCTTACCTGGGCTAAAGAAAAACAGAACTGGTCTGTTGTTCAGTGGTCCAAAGTCCTTTTTTCTGATGAGAGCAACTTTTGCATCTCATTTGGAAACCAAGGACCCAGAGTCTGGAGGAAGAATGGAGAGGCACACACTGCAAGATGCTTGAAGTCCAGTGTGAAGTTTCCACAGTCTGTTGATTTGAGGAGGCATGTCATCTGCTGGTGTTGGTCCACTGTGCTTCATTAAGTCCAGGGTCAACGCAGCCGTTTACCATGAGATTTGGAGCACTTCATGCTTCCTTCCGCAGACGAGCTTTATGGGGATGCTGACTTCATTTTCCAGCAGGACTTGGCACCTGCCCACACTGCCAAAAGCACCAAAACCTGGTTCAATGACCAGGGATTACTGTGCTTGATTGGCCAGCAAACTCGCCTGACCTGAACCCCATAGAGAACCTATGGGGCACTGCCAAGAGAAAGATGAGAGACATGAGACCGAACAATGCAGAAGAGCTGAAGGCTGCTATTGAAGCATCCTGGTCTTCCGTAACACCTCAGCAGTGCCACAGGCTGATAGCTTCCATGCCACGCCGCATTGAGGCGGTAATTGCTGCAAAAGGGGCCCAAACCAAGTACTGAGTACATATGCATGCTTATACTTTTCAGAGGTCCGATATTGTTCTATGTACAATCCTTGTTTTATTGATTGCATGTAATATTCTAATTTTCTGAGATTGTGAATTTGGGGTTTTCATGAGCTGTAAGCCATCATCATCACAATTATGACAAATCACGGCTTGAACTATCTTGCTTTGCATGTAATGAGTCTATCTCATATATTAGTTTCACCTTTTAAGTTGCATTACTGAAATAAATGAACTTTTGCACAATATTCTAATTTTTCGAGTTTCACCTGTATGTGTAAACATTAAGATCACAAACTAGTGGAAACTGTATAATATAAAATAGAATAATATAGTGGCAAAATAATGACATTATCAGGTAGATAAATGGTTATGGAAACCATTCTGAACTAATCTACCAATTTATAACAATGAATGCCAATACTAAGGGTAACAGCTTCCAGTTATTTGGTATAGAATATCTCTCATCGTTTCTTCCTGTCACAATAGTAGCAGATCAATACTTGTGCACCTAACAACTAGATAAAGTTGTCCCTTGCTTTTCTCCCTTATTTATTAAAGTGGCTGTATTCCCTTAGTATGCTTAGCATAAATCAGGGTTAACAAAAGCAGAAAAGTAATTCTTATTACCTAGCACAGTTGTTATATTCTGATATATACTGCAATATTCTGATTCTTAATTCTGGAAAGATGAGGTTGTAGACAGCCAAGCCCACAGGCTGTTCAATTGAGCAATTTTGTTAGGGTTAGCCTGGCAGTTGTCACTGAAAGTATATGGTAGACTGATAAACCATTTCATGTTAACAGGCCCCCACCAAATCTGGGTGCAACCAGGGTAGTTGTTCTTATTGAAGAATGGGACAAATGACCTTTGACTCACAGGACAAAGAAATGCCTAATACAATACGCAATATTGTATTTGCCCACCCCACCAAAAGCAATGCAATTACCAAAATATCAAGCCAGATCAAACAGAATAGAGCAATATAACTCTATATGGAAAACCGGCAATTCATTTAGATTTTACATATACTAATCTCCCAGAATATCAACACACCCAATTAAAAAATAAGTTATATAAAAATATTTGCTCCTTATGGAGTTTGCAGTGAGATGCACAGTTTTTTTTACTTCATACTAAAAATCAGCTCTCTTTAGCTAAAACTATATCTTAACTGTGGTTGATAGAAAACAGTATGTTAACTGGGTTTAACTTAACCATTGGGGAAAGTAAAGTTTAATGTGCGTTTGAGACTGACGTAGCAACCCCAGAGTTATGATGTGTGTAAACTACATGTTAATTTGTATTCCTACATATAGACAATGATTCAAAATAATCAGGTGATCAGACTTTCGTTTCTTTTGGAAATCTTTGAGCTACTTTTGTCAGAACAAATATTGTATAGTTTAAAAATGAAACAATAATTTCCCCAAACCACATTAAAAATACACATTAAAACAACATAAAACTGCTAAAATAGTTTTTAAATTAATTAATTAAAATAATTACTAACACAGATTTTAGGATCATTACTTAAAAGTTAGCACATTGCTTTCAGTAGGATTTATTTCTTCATAAGTTGATAAACATTCTACAAGGGAGGAACAAACAATACTTTTAGTATTTAAATATTTATTAACTATTTTCAGTAAATTTTGCATATGCATGATGTTCTGCAGCTATCTTTATATAATGTAAGAAAAGTGCCTTGTTTTATCTTACTGTTATCTATATTTTCTTTGTTGATTGCATTTTAGTTTGGTATTGCTGGACTAAGGCTCTTAGAATTTACTATTATTACTACTATTACTGTCATCTCACCACTGAATATTTTGAATTCTTTTTTATGAAGAAAATGTTTAGCAAGTTGTAAACTTCAGAAGTACATGATTGTAGAAGAAACTGATAAATCATAGTTAAATAGCAGTGATTTTTTTCTTTTCTTGATTTCTAGTAATCCATCAAATTGTCAAACATCATATCAGAGAAGGCTCTTGGTGACAAGATCTGGTCGAAAAATAAAAGGAAGGGGACCAAGGGTATGTGTTTTTTTACAGTTTGATTTCTTTGATCTTTGGATTTTAATAAAACATGATTTAGTTGTGTGATATATACATGTCTGTCTGTCTATCTATCTAATTAGACCAAGGCTTATTAGACTTAGCAAATTAGACTTAGCAAACAAAACCAGCATTTTGCATTTATATCTCATGCTAAGTTTGGATATCAAGCCATACTGAAAGCAATACAGGTAATCCTTGACTTACAACAGTTCATTTAGTGACGGTGCAAAGTTACAATGGCACTGAAAAAAGTGAGTTATGACTGCTTTTCACATTTATGACAATTGCACGTTGCAGCACCCCATGGTCATGTGATCGAAATTCAGATTTTTGGCAATTGACACAAATTTATGATGGTTGAAGTATCCCGGAGTGCTGTGCATTGTCCCCTTTTGCTACTTTCTGACAAGCAAAATAAGTGGGGAAGCCAGATTCACTTAACAAAATTGTTACTAACTTAACATCTGTAATGATTCACTTGATTCACAGCTTTGCCAAGAAAAGTCGTAAAAAGGGACAAATGTCTCATTTAGCAACATAAATTTTGGACTCAGTTGTGGCGATAAGTTGAGGACTGCCTATATGTGTTTGCGGGTTGGCTAGCATATAGTGATTTGTACAACAAGCTAAGATTGTGTCAAAATATTGACTTTAAATTGGGGTGCATGTTTTAATAGTCTCCCCATGAGGGTTCCTTTAAAAATCAAGTATGCACATGTTTTATTGCTAAATTGTTCTATTCTCCGGTAATGGACTGCCTTCTGCCAAGGCTGTTGTGTAGTGCCATTAGAAGACTTCCACAAAACTCAACAGTGTCCACGAGCTTTGTGGGACAAAGATTTGCTAAGGAAAAATTCCTGACTCTCCCATAATCCTTACTCCCAAGGAACCCAATTTTTAAAGTTTTATTTCTGTTTCAAGGATCAAACGTTTAGAACTGAGGTCAAAGTATAGCATAGCTCTAGTAAAAATAATTTTAAAATTAAACAGTAAACTTATTATTTGGCTTCTTTCAAATGAGAATTATAAAAACATAATATTACTTCAAAAAGAAGATAATATAATTTATTAAATAACATAGATTTGATAGATTCTGCATATCAGAATTCAGTATGCAGTAATACACAAGAAATTAATTCCTTTTGTTGTTAGATGCGAAAGTTATAGCAATACACTGGAAAACTGAAAGACATATTTAAAAGTGAGAAATCACTTTGAAAAATTAATACAGCAGTAAAAGTTAAGAATTTTGTTAATTAAAAACTGCTTACACTATTTGATCTCTACTTAGTTATATAAATAAAGTTTAGCAATAGATTAGCTCCATTTGTACAAAAATATTTAGTATGGATGTTTAAATTTTGTATTTCCCATTATTTTAAATATATTTTTGTATTCTGGACAGTGCATTTTTTTTCTTTTTATATTTTTATTGTTAAATTGCTGTGTTGTTTTCAGTGAGAATTGAAACAATTCTTATCCCCAAATGATCCATTAGATGGAGGTTTTATTATGTTTTTAAATATGTAATTTACAATCAAATGTATGACAGTTGCTCTACAAATTAGGATCCACATCTTCTTGTCTTAGCTAATTTTTCCTCCTGTATTCAAAGCGGTACCGGACACCTTCAAGATCCAGGTCGAGGGATCGCTTTAGACGCAGTGAGACTCCTCCACACTGGAGACAGGAAATGCAGAGAGCCCAAAGAATGAGAGTATCAAGTGGAGAAAGGTGGATAAAAGGAGACAAGTAAGATGCACTAGCCATTTCTGTACTATTTATTTATTAGATTTTTATCTCACTTTATAAGTAACTCAATAGTCAGTGCAGCAATGAAATTCCTGTAAATAGTGGTTTATTTTTCCATTTCCTATTTTGCTCATGTAGTATCTTGTTAGAAGAAAAAGAAAAAAAACTTAATAATCTGCTTAAATTCCAATTAAAACAAGTATAGAGAGGAGTCGAAAGAAACAAGTACGTGTGCTTTCTTTCTTCGCTTGTGGGAAATTCTTCCACAAAATTTTTTAGAGGCCTTCTCACTCTGTTATGTCACATTTGACTCATACAGCAGAGTTCTGGAATAGTATGTTGTGTTTTTGATTTAGAGGTACTTCTTTCTATCATATGTTAAATGTACTTGCACTTGCATGCAGTTTATAATGTAAATTCAGATAATGATATGGGATTATTTCATTAGCTTTATGTTCAAGTTTGTTTGTTTGCTTGCTTGTTTGTCTTGAAGGAGTGAAATGAATGAAAACAAGAAGGATGCTGCAAATCAAAAAAGCCCAGGGAGAGGAAAAGAAAGAAAAATATCTGACTACAGAGAGGGTTCTGAAAGTCTAGATAGAAGAGGAGAAAAAGAAACACAGCCCAAAGATCCCAAATCTGACAGTAAAGACAGAGGGACAAAGAGGAATTCTGAGAAGGAAGATAAGGACAAACATAACAAAAGTAAAGCCAAAAAAAAGGCTAGATCCAAAAGCCAGAGCAAAAGCAGAGAGATATCAAAAAGTAAAGAAAGAGACTCAAAATACAGTAAACATGAAGATAAAAAAATGCGATCAAGAAGCAGAGAAAAAGACAAAGAAAAATATAATGACTTTCATGGCAGAGAACGGAGCAAAAGCAGGGAGAAGAATAAAAGGGGAAGATCTAGAAGTAATAGTCAGAATCATACCAAAAGTAAAGAGAGGGGAAAACATGAACACTCAAAAAGCAGGGAACGCGAGCAGTCTAAAAACAAACATAGTTCCAATAATAAGGCCAGAGAGAGAAGCAGAAGTGTGGACAGAGGCAGGCGAGCCAGGTCCAGAAGTAAAGAACGAGACCACAGCAGAAGTAAAGATTATTCCAAACACAGAGATAAAGAAGTGAAAAGAAAAGGGAGGTCAAGAAGTAGAGAGAGAAGAGGCACACCAGAGAGGTCCAGAGAGAAAGACCATAAAAGGCGGAAGGAATCCCATAGCTCTGAGAGGGAAGAAAGTCGAAGTAAAGACAGGCATCGGGATCAAGAGTACAAAAGTTCTCGGAGAAAGGAAGATACTGGAAAAAAGATGCGCTCAAAAAGCCATGACAGCAGTAGCTCTGAGACGAATAAAAGCAAAAAATCCAGTAGAAATCAAGATAGAAGTCCTGACTCAAAGAAAAGAAGAAGCAGCAAGGACAGAGAATTGAAAAGATCATACTCACGGAGGAGTAAAGAAAAGGAAAGGGACAGATCTCGTTCTTCAAGAGAAAAAGAGATCAACCAAAAATCAAAATACCAGGAGAGAGATCGTGCCCATGGCAAAGATAAAAAATCCGATCATGAATCAAGTGCTGGGACTGATGAAGATAGGCATGGATGAGTTTATGAACTTATTGTTTCCACTCTGCTTCTAGGTTCTAGAGACATGTTGGGGAACATTTTTTTTTATGTGGACTTCAGTTTGGTTTTTTTGATAATCCACAATCTGGATCATTTGTACTGCTAAAGTTTTAATAAACTTGAAATGGAAAAACAAGTTTTATGTGTAATACGGTGTGCTGTGTTTTAATATTTCATAGTTTATGCATCCTATTTCTATGTTACCTGATTGGAAGCATATTGTATGTTTAATTTAATTTTAATTTAGAAGCACAGTGCAAATCGGTTGATTGGTCTGAAATTACAAATATCTTTGAATCAAATTCTTTTTACATCTTAGATAACATGTTAATATTAAATTATATTAACATTTCTACAGAACTATAATTAATAAACAAAACCAGCATATATAAAAACAGAACATTCAAGTGAAGGAGAATGAATGTTCTCCATTTTGAATATGTTACTTGGATTGTTACATTGCTGTTATATTTCATTGTTGTCCCTTTCAGGAAAAGGTTAATCACTTTGATCTTTGGAACAGTTATTCTACATGAAATACTTTATATAAAGCAATTATTTAAGAAATAATTGATTTTATATGGTCCTGATAATGAATTTATAGAAAAGTCATGCTTTTCTGTAACTGTGAGAATGCATTTTATATGTGTCTGGCTTGTTTGAAGGAGAAAAGTTCTTCCAGAAAGAAATAAAATCTGGCTTCACTGAATTTATAAGGAAGAAATGTGTTTCATAATTTTGTAATCCTTCCTGAGTGTTAGCTATTGTAAAAGTACCACATTTTTCTATCAATATAAATTCCCTTTGGAAAACTGCTATTGCAGATACAAGGGCTTTCTGGAACAACATTTTATGGTATCACATAGAAAATTGTGTTGCTTAAGAGAATTGACAAAAATTGAACCTTTACTCCCACCTCCAGTTGCTTGAGTGGAAGCCCTTTTTGATAGGAAAAAGGAACCATTGGGTGCATCCCAGGACACCCTAATATAAATTTAAAATATGTATAATGTAGCTTACATTTCTGTTGTTGGGTGACAAATAAGTAAGGTAGTGTATATGCTAATTTTGCTTTCTAAAGCTTCCTAACAGATAAGAAAAAGTGCCACAAAGAATAAAGAAGAAATGATAAAAGTTAGATATATTCATCAGATTTCAACACCTATCAGAAACTTAGACTTTTACAGGAATAAAACACTGTATGCCTTTTCTTTGTTTATAATAAATGTGCTGCATTCCCAGACCAGTGCTGCAGATTTCAGTTTGTTCCCTGACCTTGCAGATGTATTTAGTGATGAGAAGAAAAATTAGAACAAGTTCTGTGTTAGTTCAGATGTACATGAATATAAGTTTTAGGAAAGTATAATAAGATAGTTGAATTTGTTAATTTGTATATGTGTATATGGACAAAAAAAATCCTTTTGTGATACTGTGACCCTAATAACTAAGTGGTCAAGACGTTTTCCCTGTGATCTTTTCAGGAGGGCAGCCATGAAATTGTCTGGGCATAAACTTAGGACCGTTCTCATTTGGGACCAGTATTCAGATCCTTTGTAGGAAATGTGGTTCTGATCTAGCATGGGGTGCTTGCTATATCTGTATCACGTTCATGCTGGATTGGAAGCACCTTTCCTGCTATAGATTGAAATACTGTTCACCTCTTTGTTTTAACCAAATATAACAGCAGTGCATGCTTGTGCTATTGAATAGTAGTATTTATTTACTACGCAATACATCTGTACTCTTTTGTTTTCTTAGATCTTTCTTGGTCAGAAGTAGGAATAGTTTTTTTTCCCCTTCCTAATGGGAAAAATGGATTCTGCAAATTTTTTACAGGTATCTTCCGATCTTCTGTCATCACTCGGATCTTGCACAGGTCTCCTCTTTTACAGGGCCATATTTACAAATTGCAGAATATATAGTACAGCGTTAATCATAGCCTATATTAATATCATCAAGCACAGTTAGATAATGCAAACCTGGAAAATAATTTCCATGGTATTTTAAGACTGAATATTTAAATTAATGTGATAACCTGGTTTAAAACTTGAGTTTTACTTTAGTATACAGGCAGTTGCTATTCAAACTATTGCAATAAGACTAGATATTTTACTGTTTCAGTTGAAGTTTCTTATTACAAAAGTTGAAAGAATTAGTTTACATACCCAATAAAGAAGTGGACAAGAGACAATCGTAGAAATTTCTTTTGAGCTTAAATGTCTTGTAATCAATCAGATTATTTGTCTTAAGTGTATAAATATCCTATCAGATACATAATGATAATCTCTGTAGAGTAAAAATGTTCCTAATCGTTTCAATAATCTTTAAGAGGAAAATACTGTTATATTTACCATATTCTTGTAGAAACCAAAATATTTAGGTTTAAAGTGTTAGTGCGTGGTTAATTTGTTTTTTGTGATGAGGTACAAAATTAAAGTTGCTAATTTTCATGAAAAGCCAATTAGTTTCAAGTGGTTGTTCCACAACTGAAATTCCTTCATAACGAAGGTCAAAATGATATAATTAACATGCTATTAAGGGTAATTTTAAAAAATATTTTTAAAAAATTAAACAAGGTTTGTAGCTTCGATTTGACACCAAAATCTTGTGGAAGAATACAGTGGCAGACACTTCCATATTGCTGCCTAAAAATTATTATGTGGTTATTGATCATTAGAAATTGAGCTCTACTTAAGGGGAAGAGTGTTTCAGAAGCAACAGATCTATAATAAAAATAGCAAGATGAACACTTGGCTTTTATATTGTAGAAACTCGTCATATGCATGACAGTTTCAGATAACATTCTCTGGGTCTTCAACTTTATTTTAAATTAATAGTCAAATTTGTGTAAAACTTCATGAAGGTGCCCATATGATAGAATAAAATTTAGTCTGGTTTTATATATGTATTTCTGTCTTGTATTTGAAAGGCCATAATTTACAATTTAATGATGAGTCATTGTTAAGTATAATGACTGATTCGAAATTTGGATTGTGTCAGCCTTATGGCATTATTGCAAGACTGATCATCTTTCTTTAAATTTGATGGGTTTTTTTTGCTGTGTGCAATGTCCATAACTATAATCCACCCATTTCCTTCAAAAAATATTCTGTATAATCAATGTTTAATGCATTACATCAAGACCCCAACATTCACCTGTATGTACTATAGTGCTTTATAAGAGTGATGATGCAGGCCCAAACACAACAAATAACATGCAACCGAAGAAAGGACATATTTGCTAAGTCTTTGAGATTTAAGTCTTTTATCCCATTTCTATATCGATTTGCACATTTTTAAAGTGTACGTGAAAATGTACACAGTTATCCTGATTATATATGTATTTTTGTAGTAATTTTGCCTAGTATAAATATTTTTGCAAACAATTTTACCTAATGTGCATTTTTGGCATTTTCACAAATGTGTATGCATTTTTGTATACTGATTTGATTGTAGAACTGCATTGCAGAATTCAGTGAAATACAGATACAGAAGTAGCTACATTTTCCCCCCACAAAATGCTTCAGGAAATCTTAATGCTGGTGTGCATTAAAATGTGAACTGAAGAAATTTCTCATCTCATACAATTCTGCCATGCAATAGGAAAGTCCTGAGATTGTTTTTATGATAATGTAGGGATCTGGAACAGCTTTACTAACTTTAATTACAGTATCTTTGACTATGTGTGTTTGTGTTCATCAATTTCACCCTAGCTAAGTGTTTTGGTTGTACCATTGTAGCCCCCCTTCCCACACAAAATAGATGGCAGGTGTTCTGGAACTGATGCTGAGGTCCTGCAGCCTAATTATATACATTGAGCTGTTTCATTACAGCAGCAATTCACAAGTTCAGGCTCAGAGTAATTTGATGCTATTTCTTTGTGCAAAAAATCCCAAGTCATCTTATAGAATCTTTCCTTGATTATTGAAGGAAAATCTTTCCTCAATTATATTATTCATATATGTGAGGAGTTTGTGTTACATTACAATACATCCACTGTATTTTAAAGTTACGTTGTTATTAAGTGAAATCCTTATGTACCACAAAGTCCTGTCATCAGTTATCAACAAATATTTTCTCAATTGCCTTTTATCTAAGTTTGGAAAAGTTTGAAGTTTCAAGAAGAAAGTTGGGTTACTTCGCTTTTCAGATAGCAAAGCATAAAAAGAAAAATAAACCCTATTTCCCAAAGCCAGTTTGGTGTTGCTATATATATATATATATATAGGTCAGTCCAGAGATCAAGATACTTAATGGGCTAACAAAGTCTCACTGGTAGCAACAGCTTAAGTGTCTATACCAGAGTTGAGGTACTAGGGTTGTGAATGTGTTGCTGCAGATTTGTTTCCATTTTTCACCTTGATAACTAACATAACTTCTACTCTTGTGTTTTTGGCAATGATCTTAGAGGTGTCAGATTTCTGTAGCCTGCTATATTGCCAGTATCCTTGGGATTTGGTTGATTTTCATACAGATTGATGTGAAAGACCAACTGTGATTCATATTCACCCATTCTGACTCTTCATCTAATACTAAAGTTGGGAAATGGGTTCTTCACCTATCTAGGGCTTCTGTCAAAAAGTTGGTCTCCAAATGCAGAATTCCTGACCTTGAAAAACCGGCCTCTGTCATGCTTATTTAGTTTTATATGGTAAAAATTTTTCCCATCTTTTCTGCAATTAGATAAATATGGGAAAGTATCAGACCCCAATTTAAGCATGCAGCCCACAGAGAGTTTAGGCAAAAGCCCTGCTTTTTCACCCTTGGAAATATAAAGCCTGAGGAAAATTCTACCACTGCGCTGTTTCTGCACACCCATTTGTAAAACAGTTATGGAAGGCCTTTTAAATCTCCGCCTGTCTATTCGGAGTTTCCCTGTCTGGAGCTCTCAGTTGTTTCCCAAAGATACAGTAAAATTCAATTTTTCCTGTCTGAGATGGAATGTACTGTATGACCCATTTAAGTTACAGGCTTGATGAAAATAGTATTCCTGTACATTAGTTTTAATCAGGATGTCTGCGTATTGGTAAAAAAGGGATTGAGTGATTTGACTGAAACCATCCAAACTGATCAGGCTTTACATTTTGAATACGTCTATGTGTGTTCAAGCAGATGCTCTCTTCAAATGGGATGAGT